CCAACACCTCTTTAGTTGTTTCTTTTATGATTTCTCTGCACTCTTTCCACTCCTCATTTAGGTTTTCATGTTTTGGTCTGTTTTCTAGTTTGATACTTATATTTTCTTTGTACTCTCTATTTTTCTTTGTTTCTTTGAGTCATTCTATATTGTATAGTTCATGTTTAGAGCCTCTTTCCGTTTTGATGTTTGAAATTCTAGCCCTTATCCCACTTTCGACCAGGTAGTGATCAGAATCCGCATTTGCCCCTCTTCTGGTACGGACGTTTATTATATTCGATTGGTGTCTTGAGTATACAATAACATGATCTATTATATTCACTGTAAGTCCGTCTGGTGATTTCCAGGTGCCTTTACCAACCTATTGCCATTGTCATTTGATTTCTCATGAAGACTGTGCTTACCTATTGTGGGTTGGAATTGCTGCTCTCTTCCAACTTTTGCGTTTAAGTCTCCATAAATTATTTTTATATCACTTTTTGGGCATGACTGGTATGCGGACTCTAATTCATCATAAAACTCTTCTTTGACTTCCTTTTTTTTTCTTCTGTGGGGGCATGCGCATTAATTAGGCTGTAGCATCGTAGCATTCTTACTTTTGTACCAAGAGAGAGGTTGTGACTCTTGAAGAAGGCCCCCATCTGATCGAAGGTGTATCTAGCTTTTGCGATGCATGCTCTAATCTCCTGGTTGTTGGTCAATTTTTCATTTATTATGTTGCCGAGATAGTTGCAGTGCGTCACTCTTTTTACAGGAGATCGGTTGACGTAGAGTTGACCTTCTGCTATCCTTTTCTTGCTAATTATCATAAGCTTTGTCTTCTTAACGTTTATATTGAGTCCATATTGTTGACTGTAATACGTGATTTTGTTCATAAGAACTTGTAGGTCTTCTAAGTTGTCCGCAAATGCTATGGTGTCATCTGCATATCTGATGTTGTTTAGCCGGTTACCATTTAGTAGCATACCTTTACCAGTTTCGTGCAAAGCTTCAATAAATAGTCTTTTAGAGTACAGATTGAAGATTAGAGGAGACAAAATACAGCCTTGCCTCACTCCACGCATGATTTTCACATAGTCAGTGTGTTCACCTTCAACTCTGAGATTTGCTGTTTGATTCCAGTGAAGATTTCTAATTATTTTTAGATCTTGGTTATTAATTCCTGCTTCTTTTAATATTTGCACCATCTTGGCGTGCTGTACTCGATCAAAAGCTTTCTCGTAATCAACCAGACATGCGTATACGTCGTAGTTGACGTCTCTGCATTTGTGGAATAAGACTTGTACTGAGAACAAAGCCTCTCTAGTACCAACAGCATTTGTGAACCCGAACTTGTTGGGGGAAATTTGACTTTCACAGAGCTTGTAGATTCTCTTACGAATTATATTTAAGAACAATTTTAGTAGATGACTCATGAGGCTAACACTACGATAATCTTCGCATTTTTTACTCCAGTATTTCTCCAGAGTTGTATATGTTGTTGAATATCTTTGCGATTATTGCTATTGATTTATTGTCCATTAGTTTGAGTAGTTCTGCTTGTATATTATCAGGGCCTGCCGCTTTGTGTTATTGCGAAATAAACTTCCTGCTGTAATATTCTTGGTCTATCATTTACCTATTCTTTTAGCTCAAAGGTGTTATTTGTTTGGTCTTCAAATAGTTTTTCTAGATATTCTGTTCACGTTCTTATTTTACTCTGTTTGCCCAGGATGATTTTTCCGTCAGAATTAGTTATATTTCCTTTCTGCTTTCGTCTTAGTCCTCATGTGAGTTCTTTAACTTTCCTATATACACTGTGACTATCGTACTTTGACTTCAGAGTTTCAATTTCTTCGCATCTTTCCCTTGATTCTTTTACTTTCGCTTCTCTGATTTTCGTTCTTATTAATATATTAATGGTTTTATATTTTTCTGGGTCTTTTTTGGCTTCCCTTCTCTCGTTCATTAGTTTCTCATCTGTCTCATCCAGGATCTTATCTGTCATCCATGATTTTTTCTTCAATAATCTATCTGTCTTTAAGTATTTATCCTTTAAATTTTGCACTATTTCTGTAATTTGTTTGATCGTTTGTTCTTCGTTCGATTCGTCTCTAATTGCAGTCACTTGCTCGTTTAACGTAGCTTGGAGTATCATCTTCGTATCAAGGTCTTTCAGCATGCATAGGTCATATGATTGTGCTTTTGTTTTCTGCAATGTTTTGAGTTTGACTCGAAATACTTCCACCAGTGGAACGTGGTCTGTCTCCAAGTCTGCTCCAGGATAAGTCTTGACAGATGTGAAGCTGTTTCGGAATCTTTTATTTACTAAAATGTAGTCTATTTGATTCCTAATAATTTTCCCGGGTCTGTCTTAAGGAGAATTCCACGTGTACAGCTTCTTTCTCTTTTTCTTCTTCTTCAGCCTGTGTTCGTCCACTGCTAGACATAGGCCTCTTCCATTTGCTTCCATCGATTTCTACTTTTGGCAATTCTCATCCACTGCTTGCCCGCGACTTGTTTGATATCGTCTGTCCACCTCTTCTGCGGTCTGCCTACTCCTCGCCTGTTCTCTCTTGGTCTCCAGTTTGTTAATCTTTGTGTCCATTTTCGGGATTATCTCGGGCAACGTGTCCGACCCATTGCCACTTGAGCCTTGCAATACGTTCTGAGACATCAGTAATTTTTGTTCTTTCACGAATGACGTTATTTCGAATCCTGTCTCTCAAACTAATCCCTAGCATGGCCCTCTTCATTGCTCTTTGGGTTGTACTGAGCTGCTCTAATGTTTTCTTTGTGAAGGCCATGGTCTCCAGTCCATATGTAGTTACAGGCAAGATACATTTGTCATAAACTCTACGTTTTAGACACATTGGTATATCTTTATTCTTCAAAATAAAGCTTAATTTGCCGAAAGCTCCCCAAGACAGTTGTATGCGTCTTTTTATTTCGGCTATTTGATTTTCTTTGCCGATTTTAATGGTATGTCCAAGATATATATATATATATATATATATATATATATATATATATATATATATATATATATATATATAGTGGTCTACATTTTCAAGACTGACGTTGTCAATAACAAGATTAGTTTGTAAATTACTCATTATTTTTGTTTTCTGAAGGTTCATTTTGAGACCTATTTTATTTGACTGCTGGTTTAATTCCTTCAACATTTGCTCCAGTTCCTTGATATCTGTACTAAATAATACTATGTCATCCGCAAACCTCAAATGACTCAAACGTACACCATCAATGTTTAAACCTTTTTCCTCCCAGTCAAGCTGTTTTGAATACATTTTCCAATGCTAAGGTAAAAGCTCTGGTGAAATAGTATCACCTTGTCCAATACCTTTATCAAGGCGCATTTTTTCAGTTTTTTCGTCTTCATTGATTTTAATGTGGAATGTGGCCTGTTCATAAATGTTTTTAATGAGTGTAGTGTACCGTGAGTCTATTCGAGCATCCTTCAGGGCTGACAAAAAGGACCAAGTCTTAATACTATCGAAAGCCTTGTGAAAGTCGATAAAATGCCATATGTAAAGGTACATCTTACACCTTACAGGCCATAAGTGTACAGCTTACGAGGTGGTAATTGGGAGAATGTGTTGTTGGTGACAACTAGTTCTGAGTCTTCTGCGAATTTTTCTTCTCTCGTTTCTGACTCCAAGTTCATGTGCTCCAATGTATTGTGTTTTATCTCCAGCTCCAATCTTGGCATTAAAATCGCCCATAGTGATGAGAACTTCCTATCGAGGAATTTTCTGTATGATATTGTTGATGTTTTGATAGAACTCAATTGCTTCCTCCTCCTCTTTGTCTGCAGTGGGAGCATAGACTTATATGGTGTTTGTATTAATAGGGGTAGCTTCTACTTGTAGTACCATCACTCTCTCTGATATTGGTGTAAAGTTAGTAACTCATTTGGCAACCTTGGGTGATACGATTATTCCGACTTCATATTCATGTGATCCATCACTTTTTCCCGAGTAATATACCTTGTGATCTTTTATTTTTATTTATCCAGAATCTGGCCATCTCATTTCTGCTATTCCCATGATTTAAATATGCATTCTCTTCATCTTCTGTATTGCATTGTGGATTTTGTCTGCTTTGTATAAAGTTTTGACATTTCATGTGCAGATCTTGATATTCTTTCTACACTTCAATTTATTATCTTTTGGTAAACTCAAAACTGTCCTCCCCGGAGACCCGATCGGAGGACTTACTCCAGAATTTATTTTAGTATTGAGCATTACCATAAATGATTGACTAGGGCGTATCGATTTGGATCTTTAATGGAGTGTTTGCCCTACTTGTGCTTCTGCATCCTTATGCCGTTGATCAAATATTTGGTTCATCCGACTTCGAGGCCGATTTCACAACCTCAGGACAAAAGGGTGTCCTACTACTTACCAACTAATCTGCCCGAAGTCGTTGGTCAGTAGAGATGAAAACAGTTAAAAAAATTGATAGTAAGACACTATGGGATAGGACTAGAAGTACAGATATACGGCGTAGAAGGGAGAGCTATAAAATAACAACAAATTCTATTCGTAGATAGAAAACTATATTTCTAAAAATGTCATAGACATTTAAAAGCGAGTATTTTAATTTTACTAATAACTGAGATGAGGTTTCTACTAAACTAGAAGTAAAGAGAAACGAGAACTACAAAATGTAGCAAAATGCAGAAACTCGAATAGCTGATATGCATAAAGAGAAAAATAAATTATGGGAAGTTTATCAACTCATAATTTAGGACAAGGAGACGTTGTAATTGATGTATAGAAAGTTGTTTAATAATATTATTTGTGTTTTAAGCTTTAGTAATTCTTTTCTATGCTATATCTAACCTTAAGCACTTCCATTATTTATCCATTTATATTATTGTTCTTGATAATCATCAACTTTTCACCTTTTGTAATTCGGCGTCTATGCACTCAAAGTATGTCGAAAACTCATACTTTTTTAAGAATGTCACAATTTTTTCATGATTATCTAATTTTTAGTTTCCAAAATTGCCCAAACAACGTACTTCAAGCGTTTGGTCCAGCAAGTCGTCACTAAGCACGGGATTTAGATATCATGGTGGTAATATCATCAATACTGTTACATCTCCAAGTCCAGATGGTATAAGAAATTACTTGTTTGAAGGCCTTTTAGGAAAAGAACGGTCCACACTTTGGGATCAGATGCAGTTTTGGGAAGATGCATTTTTGGACGCAGTTTCCCAAGAACGGGATATGATAGGAATGGACCAGGTAAGACTAAAAATATGTATTTAGCTATTGTTTTGGTAAAGCATAAATGGTTTTCAAATAGTTAATGAACATTAAGTCGAATTTTGCCGAGATTTCTCTTGTTGTGTTTTTCCTTCATCATCATCACTGGCTCGACAACCCTTTTTGGGTCTTGGCCTGTTCAAGGATTCTTCTCCATTCTGACCTGTTTCGTGCTTTTTTTTTCCAGTTTTTAATTTTTAATGTTGTTATATCATTTTCTATTTGTTCTACGTATCTCAGCTTCGGTCTTCCTCTTGTTCTTTTTCCTACTGGCACTTGTTTGAATATTTTGTTTGGTATCTCGCCTTCTTCCATTCTTTCCACATGTCCAATCCAACGTAGCCTTCCTATTTTAATGAATGTTATGATATCCGGATCCTGGTATATGTTGTATAGTTCAAATTGACCTTCTCCGCCAAATCCGTTTTCTTTTGTGCCCTTATATATGTGTCGCAATGTGTTTTTCCTTATATTGTTTTATTTACCCCACTTTTATTACAATCTATCTATACAGTCTCAACCTAAATCGAAATGCCAGAGACATTTATGCCAGACATTTTTAAATGCCTGGATTATGTTTTAAATACCTATTATTTTCATCAAGTCTTTATTGATTCTCTCTACAATTCTATGTAATGTTTTATTGTTAAATGTTGTTTTATGAACCCAAATTGGTGTGATGGTATTAGTTTTTGTAGTACGAGGTGTCAGATTTTCAAAAACTTTGGACAGTATTAAACTAAAAATTATAGGACGGTAGGGCTGTACATTTTCTGGTTTTTTTCCTGGCTTTAGTATCATTGTTATCTGTATCAATTTCCATTGACAGTTATTTTTGACACATTCTCTATTTTTCCTTATTTCTTTCTTTTTCTTTTACCCAAATTTATATTGAAAAGAAATTTATATTTCGTTTTTTACAAAGAAGAGTACCGATATAATTTCTTTAAACTAGGAATTACTTTTTATAGGGTCCACGTGAGATGATGGAAAGGTACAAAAGTTTAAGTGATACTGAAAGAAAAAGACTGGAACATGAGGAAGATAAATTGCTAGCAACTCAACTTTATAACTTGACAGCTATACTGGTGATGCTAAATTGCCACAAAGAAGAAGTTAAGAGAAAGATTAGAAGGCTATTAGGAAAGAGTCATATAGGTTTAGTTTACAGTCAAGAAGTAAATCTGTTACTTGATCAAATTCAGCATTTGGTAAGTAATAAATTACAGATGTAAAATAATTCTAATAAAGTAATAAGGGATTCTAGCTAACAATATTTAATACAAAGAAAACAATTTTCTATTACTGTCATATCATCTGATTAATGTTAGTTCTTGAGAATTTAACCTATTAAATGTACTTTTTATTATTTCCTTGACAATTCTCGAAGGATAACAAAAATAAGGAGATAACAAAAAAGTAAAAATCGGACCAAATAATTTTCATTTAAAAAAAAAACAGAAAAAAATCTGTATGCCTACTGTACATTAGATATTAATATAGACTCAAAATATTTACTAAGTTTAAAAATAAATATTTAATAAGTTTTAAGAACTGACTTCTTTGCATCTTTCTTCGCCTTGACCGGCTTTTTTCTCTGTCTTTGATAGTGCTTCTTTAGTCTTAGTCACTTTCTTTACAGATTTTGCCTTTTCGCTGGTAGCAGAACGTTTGGCGGCGGTGGCAGTTTTTTTCGATTTAGTTGTTCCTTCGGCTTTTATTTTTCTTCTAAACTAGGCTTTGTAGATCCATAATACGATGAGATAGACGCTAACTTAAAAATCTTCACGTTTCCTTTCGCTTTGTTTGCACCAACGATCCAGTAGCAACTGCAGCTTTTAAATATTTTTTGATAGCTTGAAGATTAGAACCACCATTTTGGATTTTTTGCCTTTGCGCAGTGACTGTAGTGTATAGTTGAAATTTCACAAAGTATTAACTATGAATCCAAAACAATCTATTTGCAATCAAGTCTAGGATTTAAGTTTTAATTGCACAAATTTTCAATCAAAACTCACATAAGATACAATACCTAAGGTATAGTAGACTGATTTTACTAGCTTCATTTAAATTTTTAAACTCGATACGCGCGAGACTATCGTATTTACACACATCGACATCGACACTTCCGAGTGTGGATGAATAGCACGGGAAAGTTCGTCCACACTTGTGGACTTTATCAAACAACCATTCGGCATAATTAATTATAAAAAAACCCTAATAGACAGGCCCCAAATATTATGGGCCCTAGGCACGTGCCTAGACCTTAGTCCGGCCCTAGCGACGGGTAAACAGAGGTTCATGGAAAGTCGACGCTGTGCAGTGTTGCCATTTATAAGCTGTATATTTAGTTTAAAACTTAACATACTGTATATATTTAGTGTGTACTAAGTAGTGTTATTGTTAAAACTAACAACGAATACAACTAACTGTAACAATATTTGTGATTTTTATAAATACCGTGTATATTAAAAAACTCAAGTACAATAAAAAAAGCAAACTATAAAACAAATAATATTATTATTTTATATGTGTAAAATGTAACAAACATTTTTTTTAGAATGGAAATGACATCGATCTAAAACCTTTGGGTTCAAGACTTCTTCATCGCCAGAGTTTTACTGTTCATCAAGGAGTCGATTGCACTGGAGATCTGAGGTAACTACATAACTACTAAAGATTATATCCACTAGTTAATACGTAATTCTTCATGCATATCTTTGTTGTTGATATAGAATTTTTCATATAAAAATGATTGCACGTCATTCAAGATTTACGACGTCAGAACCACAGCGTTGCCAAAGCATCAGAATAGTTAGTAAGTGAGGAATTTTTAAAATATCAACTGTTTGCCAAACTGTTATATTAACAGTAAATCCACTTAGTTTTAAGACTACTACAACACACTAAAATACATAAGAAAAATTATATATTCTAAATTTTAAATTCACCTCTTTTAGAGCATTAATAGTAAAAACGTCCCGTCATTACTTTCTTGTTCAAAATATTCTATCTTATATAAAAGCTTGTCAGCTTTCTACAGACTATTTAGTTGTTTTGACACAGCACAATCACAATACACAACAATAGTTACTTTTTAAAGCCATCAATCTAAATTTAAGATGTATTTATAAATATAATTTATTAATTATAATCAAATTGTGTAAGAAATCAAAACGTAAACAAAATTTTTACTCTAAAAAAGCGGCAACACTGTAAGCGATTTTGCCATACGCTGAACTGTCATTAAAATTTTAAGTATTGCTGTATCAGTTGCGTACAATTGTCTAACATATTTAATTAAAATTATTATTTTGTGAAATATTAGACTCAAAGGATTATTTCATAAAATTTATATCAATAATACTAACAAATGTTTTTGGTTATTTAATCAATATATTTCTAAAATTCTCAATATAATGATCATTTCATTTTTCTAATTAATATACCATGTTGACGCCTATGAAAGATCGAGCAGCATATTAGCTGTGTTAGGAAAATTTGAACTCTAAGGTTGACGTTCTGGAAATTTAAAATATGTGACATCACTTTATATAAATTATGACGTGCAACGTTTTTAATTTGAAAAATGGTATATCTGAAATGCCACAAAAATTGGTGCCAATCTTATACACAGATTTCAGTATATCTGTTTTGTCAACGTAGTTCATATGTTGGTTATATTTTTTAACCATCGTTGGACAGGCCACGACTTATGAATTTCCGTCGTTTTGCTTGCGGGAAACAGTTTTTCCTTCTGAAGGGTTTTGATGATTTACCAAAAAATGCACTACTTTTCGGTCTCTCCACTTTACAAACACCAGTCCATCTTTGCTAACCCTCCAGTCCGATTATCCTCCGATGTGTAATTCTTTGTCAGATGCTAAGTCTTTTGGAATTTGGGATCTTTTCGGTTAGATCTCACGCATAAATATATTCTGAATAAAGTTTTTTTTTATAAGGGAACAGAGTTAAAAAGTTATCCAAGAAAACGTGATATTCTTTTGCCACCAAATCTCAAGTCGAATCTAAGATAACCCTTTGGCCCAAATATTTTTCAGGTTGATGGTTAGTTTTTTCAACATATATTTAAAATTGGCAAACATATTCATTCTCATCAGATCAAACCCAAATTTTATAACCCCTCTTGATGAGTTTTAGAGGCATACATGTTTTAGACAACTACGATCCTTGAAACGAATCATATATTTGTCTATAGATTCATGTTTTGAAGGGCCATATAAATAACGAAACGTTTCTGATAAAGTATTCAATAAAGAACGAACTTTATACAACTTAATACAATATATCCCTTACATTGACTGGCCACTATGAAGTTTTGATTACTGGAGCCTAATCTTTAAAACCTATAGCATAAAATTTTAGTTTTGGCAATAAATGTGAAGCATTTGAAATAAGCTTAAAAAACGCTGGATTTAAACTTTCACATAACAAACGATCTAAAACATTTAAAACTGTTTTTTAATTACACTAACACATTTTTAAAACAACGAAATTTCTGCTATGAACTACACCCACAAGTTGTCTTCTTGGATGCATTTCCGGTGACGTGCGATTGTTTGTATTTAAACCATTAAATTCTTCGTTTTATATTCATATTTCAAATGCCCTATTTTGTCGTCACCACTCAAAATTGAATTTTTATGTTATAGATTTTAAAGATTTATCTCCAAAAAACGGAAATTTTACTTCGACTGGTCAATGAAAATGATTAATTTTATTTATCTCACGAGAATCGTAAAAAATGGAAAAAATGGGGCCACGTTTATTTATTTAACATCTTTATAAAAACTGAGTTTATATTCGGTAAAATAGTGCATACGAAAGCTGCACTTCTTACCTTTAAAACGCATCGTAATTTTGGCTAATATTTTTACCGTCGAGCTGATACAAATTTTATTGAGCATTGATTTTGACCCTGAGAGGGTTTTTAGGGGGAAGCCCGGGAGTAAAAGTGGTAAACTTTGCATCTGTTTTGGGGTCCCAAAATTAATATTCTCAGCAAAATTCAGCTTGTTTTACGATTTTTAGGGTCAATTCTTTGACAACTCTGGACTAGTAAGATTTTGGTTTACATAAACGGCACATTCTAATAGAGGTTTATACATATGCTCATTTTATTTAATATTTATTAGATATTGCAAAATCAAAATAGCTATAAATACAAAATATTCTAAACATATTTGGATCATTGTAAATATCTTTTAGATTTATGGAGGTGAGAGATGATGGCCTGGTACTAAGGTCTGTCAGCGGAGTCATTGTCGAGAGGTGGTGGTTTGAAAGGCTAGTGAATATGACTTATAGTCCAAAAAATAAAGTACTTTGTCTGTGGAGAAGAAATGGTCAACAAACGCAGCTACACAAATATTACACGAAAAAGGTAGACTTTTTACTTTTAAGTAAACATACTTATAATATGTGATTATAAATTCTGAAATTTTTTTAATGCAAACATACTTTGCATTATAAATTCTATTTACAAAAGAATTAAAAAAAACCGAGAAGTTATACTTCTATACACGCGTTCGCCGTTACAAATTTATATGTGAGTCAATCTGCACAATCATTACACATGAAATGGTATAGGTAAGAGAGAGCAGAAAGAGAAACAGAATTAGGTATATAGGTATATGGCGCATCCTTTGCTGCATATAAACAACATTTGACCTGTAGTAGGAGTATAGTAAATGAATGAATAAATCAATATTTTGATAAAAATGTATATTTTTATTTTCATATATGAATGAAAGGAGTTGAATGCAAAAAAAATTCTTTACACATACTGTAGTAAAATTCATTTTTTATTTTGTTATTAATATAAAAATACAATACAATACACTGCAACATAATTCAATATAATATTACAATACAAATTAAAATGCAATATTCATAAGTATTTAAAAATGACAATATACATAACTTACTTACGCATATGTTTAATTTACCATGATAATAATATTAATAAAAAAATAATAATATATTAATAAATATTAAATATATTTACAAAAGGAGGGAGAAAGAGAGAAAGAAAATATATCTTCTGTCTCTCTCTTACCTATATCTTACATATGTAATAATTTTGCCGATCCACTCCCGTACAAATTTTCAACGTCGAACGCGCGTATAGAAGTATAACTTCAATATACTGAAAATAAATTAAAGATAGTATAAATATGCATTATTTATAGTGCAAGCAGCTTTACTATTGTATCAAGGAGGCTATGGAGAGAGGAGGTGTCGCTGGAACGGCGCCTGAATTAGGAGGGGAGTTTCCTGTTCAGGATATGAGCACTGGGGAGGGTGGTTTATTACAGGTCTGCATGGAGGGTGTTGGGTTACTTTTCGCAAATAGCAAGGTAATTATATAGTTTTAACTTACTACATTAGATCTATAGTAGCTATACTATATTGTTATATTTAGAATGTTGATGTGCATTGATTAGATTATGTAAATCTGAGTTTTGGTAATTATTGTTTTCTTTCAATTATTTTTAGTGGCTGTAAATTTTGGTAAAAAATAATACAGACCTTTAAAAATATACGTTTTATCTGTCTTGGATATACCCACAGATTAAAGTAAAATATAGTATCTGATTATTATATTTTCTAATTATTTGAAGGTAGAATTATTAATTTACAAAATTATCAATATACAAATATAATTAACAAAAAAATTATTAACAGTTACAGTTTAATGAATGACCCCACGTACTTAAGCGGCAATGTTGATTCAGAACATTCAGGCAAGAATGACAAGAAGGAAAAGGGATCCAAAACAATTTGCCTTAACATTCAATTTCTAAAAAATTCCAAAAATATTATACTATTAAATCACGGCATATTATCATGAAGTTACAATTTCCGGCACGTAGCGTTTCCATTCCAGCAATCAGATTGCGCGTTCACATTTTCATACATAGAACGTTTCAGTTTGTTTCGGTGAAGATATGATCTCGCTTTCTCCAACAAAAATTATGTGCAATTGCTTTCTACTTAACGATAAAGAAGGAAAAACTGTAGTAAAAAGAATGTTTAAAGTACATTCAAAGTTAAGAGAAAGGAAAAAGGAAGGTGAATACTGGACTTTACACAAAGAATTAATTTAGCCGTCAGCATCAGTAAAATATTGTTATGTTCCGGACAATGTGAGTTGTTCATATTTAAAACCATTTAAATGATATTTTTCGGAAACTAAACGCTATGTGCTGGACGCAACGTCCACGATACATATCGCGCAACGATAATATTCCACCACCTTAACTAAGAGCAAAAATATGGTCAATGATCTCAATAATTATTTGTAACAAATTAAATGATGGAGAGTGTTTGTGGTACTTAAGATGAATAAGTACACGTTGCTCAGAATCGGAAGAGATGCAGGTATAGTTCTTTTGACATTTCTACTACCACATAAACAAAATCAAAATTGAAAAGAAAAAAAATAAGAGATGATAGCTACTAGAGCCAATCAGATATATGGACTAAATAATAGAGACAAAGAAAACTTAAAACTAAAATACATATACTCGGCTGTATCCAATAGTGGCTCAACTCAAAAATTGACAAAATTGAATTGACATCACCAAAGGACTAAAAATATCCTTATTTATGACCTGCAACACTGGCACAATAAT